ATCTTCGACAGCACGTAGACGAATCGACCGTCGAGGATGACTAAGTGAAGCAGAGATACGAAGAGGGAGAGGTTTTTGGGGAAGAAGAAGAGTCTTAGATTGAAGAATTGAGAACGAGTTGACTCGAGCGAGTCGGAGAGTAGCTAACCCGCTGCGATAAGGGAATTTAGTGAGAGAGGAGGAAGAACGAGTGAGAGCTGTAGGTTCCATAGTCTCGACGGATTTGAGCTCGAGCTTCTTCTTCAATCATACCACCATTGATTCTGATCGAGCGTTTTGTTTCAGAGTCAGAGGTGAAAAAAGACAGAAAAAAGAAAGAGAGACAAATGTTAATTATTCCGATAACATTAGCCACATAAATAATCTCATCTCATAATATAGACTTTTTATTTTTTATTTTCTTCTTCCAAAATAAAATTAAAAAGTAACAAATCGTTAAATTCAAAGACCTGTAATTTTTGTTTTTTCTTCTCATATTCAGCTACAAATTTTAGAAAATGTAAACGTTACACTTATGAATTCATCAGAAAAATTGAAGGAATTCTAAAATTACAACAATTCGACGGCGATTTATACCGACAAATCTCTGGAGCTGAGGAATTTTCTCAGTTGTCTTTGCCTTTGCCTTTAAGATCTGAGACCTTATCAGATTCGTATACTGATGATTGCAAGAAAGTGCTCTGATTCTTTTGAATGAACCTGTAAAGGTTTTTAAGAGCAATTTGTGAATTTAACAGTTAAACCGAGAAACTGAAATGGCGAGATTTAGATTAGATACTTGAGGAAGTCTAATAGTGTTTGTTGCATGTGACTCCATGTTTCTTCTTCCATGTTTACATATGAAAAAAGATCCGGCAACTTCACTGCAGATTTAAAAAAGAAGAAGCCGAAATAGGGTTAAGATTTCAGAACATCGGATTTTAACTGTCTGAAATAAGAACTTTCTGAGATTTTTACCAAAGAGACGAAGTAAATGCTCGGCGCCATAAACAGTTGAAGGTGAAACATCATCCACGATTGCTTCTTGGTATTGTCGCCGCTCTTTCTTATATAAGAGCATCACAGGTAATGCCTTGTCGAAATAACATCTTATGCCTTTCAAGATTTCACCAACCGAATCAGTTATCCTGAACAGAAACACACAATTTGCTTCAATAAACTTCTGAAAATATATATCAAACTCTGAGTTCGAATAAAGGACTCACATTCCATCCTTCTTAGTTTTGAGTTCAAGGTACTTGGACAATATCTCATCAACATTAGGTGAACGCGGAAGTTTCACAACCTATATAATCATATAAATCATTCAAAGATTAGTACCAAAAGGATATTTGCATCAAGCCACTTTAGTATATAACTCATTAGATAACAAAAACACACACACTTATGTCGCTCAAGTATATAGTTGATTTTATGACAATTCTAATCATGGCTAAGTACGTGAAAAAACTATATTGATGATACCTTGTCCTTCTGCATAATATACTCCCAGTCGTCAACAAGCTGTTTTTTAAGTGTTGCGGGAATTTGGATCTTGATTAGCTTCTCTGCTAAGGCGTTATCCTTCTATAGATCAGAAAATAATACACAAGCAACCTTATCGATTTGATAACACCTGAAAAATTGACCCTGAC